TCGATTTCAAGGTGCTGGACTTTCCAGACATTCCGGCGGAGGGGCCCTTCCTCTTCGGCTTCAGCACCGGGGATGACATGCCCTCCAGAGATCCAGCGGCTTGCCTTCACTTGCAGTACCTGGAACGGAGGTTGAGAGACAGCAACTGGGTGTGCCTTCGCTTTTTTTGGGGGGGTCCACCAAAAAAAGAGAGGTGTCCGTCTTGTTTTCCTCGTAAAACCAACCAAATCAAGCGCCCTTAACAAAACAAAGACAGACCTACTGGGAGCAACCCACTTTGGAGGGGATCCGGATCACTTTGGGCGGCCCCGCCTCTTACGCGGGATCTAGCGGTCTGGACCCATCGCGGCTGTCGACCGTCGCGGCGGGAAGGGGTTTGCAGGTGTTGCGTCATCGAACGTTGGGCCGTTGCAAAGATGCCTGAATTCGAGCAAAGGGGGCTGAACATTTTTGTTTGTTTGAAGAGTTGAGTTCGGGTTTATTGCCAGTGAGCAAGCCTGAGCTTGGCAAATGCGCTGCTTGGCACTCCAACTTGCCGAAGCTTTGCCATATGCCGACCTGTTTCGTCTTTTTGGCCATGTTTAGTAAGGGCCCCCGGAAAATCGCCGGATTTCCAGCGAGGAGCTTCAGGCACAGCTGAGTTTCTGAGCTCGCTTGGCATGAGAGCAACACTTGCCAACTTCCCTCTGTCATTTGAGTATGAATTTTAATAAGGGACCCGAAATGGTGGACATCCAAATTCGGTGGGTATTCATGTCCACCAATCACTTTTGAGGTGGTTCCCTATTAAATTCCATAGCCAGTTGCGACTCTTTTCTTCTTTTCTTTCTTTGGGGTGGGGGAGGGGGGTTGGGCACATTTGGGCACCTAAGTGACTCAGGTGCAGTGGATCCTGGAAGCTTCCGTTGATGGAACTTCCTGGGTCGAGCTGCACCGGCAGGACGGTTTCTTTGGGCGGGCAGTGTAAGAAATATAATTTAATGTAGTGTAATGAGTTGTAATGGATTGTAGTACATGGAATGGAATGGAATGGAATGGAATCAAATGAATTAATTTGTGTGTTTGACTGTCTGACTGACTCACTGACTCACTGACTCACTTCATCCATCCAGTCAGTCAGGCGGTCAGTCAGTCAGTCAGTCCGTCAATCAAACAATTCTCTGTCAATCACTAAATCAATCAATCAATCAATCAACCAACCAACCAACCAACCAGCCAATCAACCAACCAATCAATCATCCAATCTCGCAAACAAGCAGGCAAACACACAGCATACATGAGGGTCGACACTTGTCTCACCAACAAGTAGTAGAGGCCGCAGTCTCTCCAGACGAGCAGTTTTGCTTGAGGGGCTCCAAGGTTTGGTGTCCAAGGCAACCAGTCGAAGCAGATAGCAAACAGCACATGCGCGGATTTGGTCTTTGAACATCTTGGGCTGCGATGTTCATTCGCAGCCGGCCTGTGGCTCTTGGTTCTCTACATATCTCTACAGTTCCCCTTTGAGCGGATTCAAACATCACGTTCCAGGCCTTTCTAATATGAGTTTTCTGTTGGTGGGGCAATGATCAATGGGCAATGATCAATGGGAATAGAGGGAATGAATCCTGTGCGTTTTGACCGGAGGACACCACCTTCGCCACTCCTTTAGCACGGCACTCCATGACGCAGCTGTTCGACCTGAGCCCGCGCTGGCGTCAGCTGAACTTTGCCACATTTGTGGCGCCGATGCTCGGCAGGGGAAGATCTGGGTCTAGGGCGTGCCTGCTAGGGCCTAGGGTCCAAGGCCTTCGCTCATCGCTTGAAGCAGCCAACATATTGGCGGTGTTTCTCTAGATCTGGCAACTGGTCTTGGAATCAACGCTGTCTCTTGTTGAGATGAGCCCGCTGCAGCTCCATGTTGACCCTTGTGGGTGCCTGGTTTCCGGATTGCATTTTGACAGCATCGAACTTGCTTTTTCGCCTGCGTCACAACAGACTTGCCCAGCTTCCACCAGTCATGGCTACCGAGGTTACGCCACTTTGTCACAAGGCTGCCCTGGACTTAAGATATAGCAACCGTTATGGTCTTACAATGGTCACAAGACCATGGACGAAGGGAATCCATCCTTTTCAAAGAGGGGCCCTTGTCACCCACCAAGTTGATCGCAGTTGTTTGGAACTCATATTTGACACCTCGTCCTTTTGACTCCTTGCCATGGTTTTCAGTAAACCCTTCAGCACCCAGGTTGTGAATATGACTCAGTCGCCCTCGAACAGGGGGGTCTTTTTGCCACCTTTTGTGAGAAAATTGGCGACCCCCTCAAAAAGGAATCCTTCACTACAAGGGGGTCGATCATTTTTCCACCAAAGGTGGCAAAAAGACCCCCCTGCCCTCGAATTAGCCTCGCCTTGCGAGGACACAGCCCTACGCCCTGGTCCTGTCGGACATGGGCTCTTTGTCTCTGGCGCCTGCGGAGCCTGCGGAGCCAGGCGGTGGCATCCTTTCAGGTCACTTTGGCTG